ACCTAACCTTTAGGCAGCTGGTCACCCAGTGGAATCCACAAACCCTGAGTTAATCATCTAAGATCCCTATACAATGAATGGGGTGATATAAGTAAGCTACTAGGGAAATCTGAGATTAATTAACTTACTCAGGGTCACACAGTAAGTCATTGATAGAGAAGAGAATGGTCCAAGTTCCCATATAGCACCCAAGCCACTAGAACATGCTTCCTGATCACTCACTCAGCTGTTGGCAGCAGTTTACACTCACTCTTTAATCACTGAACCCAGGTGTTACTGATGACACAAGTTGAAAATGCAGCAGACACTCAGCCCATAGGTGTTCATAGAGAATCAGCCCATAGGTTCCTTTGCAAACAGAGATGAAAAACTAGACAAGAGGGTTTTTTAATCCTTAAAGAGAAATCCCCAGCTGGTGTCAATTGATATATAATGGGGCACTAGGGGCAGCAGAGGGTGAGGGATGGGAAATATTTTACTGTATAATGGGCATTAAGACACTTAAGAGATGATCAAGGTGCTGCAGTGCCCCATAATGGACACCAGGTTGCAGCAGAGGATGGAGCATGGTCAGAGAGAGGTTGTATAGTCACACTGTGGTGAAGAATTTTGTTGTATTTTATTTCATTCTCCAAATCGTCAGCCCTGCAGTCTAGTCAAATTCTGTTGAATTCAAGGGGGGCTACACACAATGGCATTAGATGGTAAATTAAAGTCTAATTAATGTCCATACAGCTTTGGGTTTGTAAGCCTCTCATGAGTTAGTCACCCACAGAGGTTAATTATCTCTTGAACAGCTCACTTTCCCTTGGAAGGGTGTTTGGAACGGGGGAGAGCATCACAGGGTTGTCAGAAATAATAGCAAGGCCTTTGATTATTCCTGCAGCTTTAGATTCTCTTGTTGGCACAGAGCAGTGTATTCCCCTGTTTTCAGTGGCAATCACCTGCTTTACTGTAGCTAAGAAGATTAATAAAAATTAATAGAACTAATTATTCCAACAGAGTAATCATAGGACTGAAAGGGACCTCGAGAGGTCATCTAGTCCAGTCTCCTGCACTCATGGCAGGACTAGACCAGCAGTTCTCAAACTTTAGCAATTCAAGGACCCCTATTTTGATTTCAAATTTTTCAGGGACCCCTAAGCCCCCCCGCTCAGTCCTTGTCCTGCCCCTTTCCTTGAGGCCACACCCCTGCCCGGCCCCTTCTCTGAGGCCCCGCCCCCACTCACTCCATTCCCCCCTCCCTCCGTCGTTTGCTCTCCCTCACCCTCACTCACTTTCACCAGGCTTGGGGAAGGGAGTTTGGATGCAGGAGTGGGTGCAGGGTGCAGGCTCTGGGAAGGAGTTTGGGTGCAGGAGGGGATGGGGGTGCAGGCTCTGGGAGGGAGGGAGGGAAGGAGGGAATTTGGGTGCACATCCCTCTGGCAGTAGCTCCTAGGTGGGAGAGGGGGTAGGGGTCTCCATGTGTTGTCCCTGCCTGCAGGCACTGCCACCGCATCTCCCATTGGCCACAGTTCCTGGTCAATGGGAGCTGCAGAGTCAGCGCTCAGAGTGGGGGCATCATGTGGAGACCCCCTCCCCCCCCCAGGGTCCACAGGGATGCTTCTGGGACCGGTGCGGGGCCAGGGGAGGTAGTAAGCCTGCCTTAGCCCCACTGTGTCACTGGATTTTAGCATGCAGGAGGTGCTGAGAGGGAGGGGAAGGAGTTGCGGGAGGGATCGGGAAGGGGAAAGAGTTGATCAGTGGGGCCCGCAGACCCCCTGGTGTTCCCTTGGAGAAACCTAGACCATTCCTGACATGTGTTCATCTAATGTGCTCTTAAAAATCTGCAATGATGAAGATTCCACAACCTCCCTAGTCAATTTATTCCACCCTGCTTAACCACCCTGACAGGAAGTTTTTCCTAATGTCCAACCTAAACCTCCCTATTATCATGTCCCCTCTCAGTCTTCTCTTTTGACTAAACAAACCCAATTTTTTCCCTCATAAGTCATGTTTTCTAGACCTTTAATCATTTTTGTTGTTCTTCTCTGGACTGTCCCCAATTTGTCCACATCTTTCCTGAAATGTGGTGCCCAGAACTGGACACAATACTCCAGTTGAGTAATGATTGGCCACAACCAATGTAAAATCTCCCTGTGGCTTTTGTTGAGCTTTTGGCCCCACACTCACAGGTGTGGCCAGGGCAGGAGATATGCCTGGACCTGGTATGGTCCTTGATCATTTTCCATTCACCACAGGATCAGTGTGGGCTTGAATTGCAAAGGTGCTGAGATCTCATTGATGCCAATGGGAGCTGCTGGTGTCAATTGTTGCTGTATATCAGGCCCAGTGGTGTGACAAATAATTTACATGGGGAGCAGAGCCCTTGTTCTATTGTAAGTCCTAAATAATGCCAAAGGATTAGTATAATCAAAGAATGTATGGAGTAAGTCCTCCAAATGTAGATGCATGCTAGGACGTTCCTGGTTTTCATTGTTACACTCTAGAAGTAATAGGAGTTGCCTGGCACAAGGAAGGAGAAATATCGAAAGATATAAACCGAGGTATAACTTTGGGATAGTAAGAAAAATTGCTTAAAGGGGGAGAGGCCCCAATTGATAGTAGGCGCAAATAATGAAATACAATCCTTGAAATAAATCAAATATAAAAAGCCTCCAATAATAAAAGCATTATGGAAATTTGCTATTAATCAGCACCATCTACTGGATATTAATGGAAGAAGCAACAAAATTAAGGGTTCTGAAATCTCAGGACCCACCTGGCATGTGTCCAATAGGAATCAGAGGGCGGTCCTCTTCAACAAGCTCTGAAACTAGGGTATATACACTGAGGTCACCATGTGCTCAAGAGAGTTGACTGAACCCAATACAAGAAGAAGCAGAACTGTAAGTGTACCCAATTCTCAGACCAGGCTCCCCATCTCAAGGTTCAGAGGATAAGAAGAAGTAAGATTTCATCTCAAAGATTGTATTTCCTCGATTCTACTTTAACATAAATAACTGTAGGTTATCTTGCTGAATCTACACTCTCTAGTGAGACCTCAAGTAACCACATTTTAGATTTTACCTCCTTTATAAATCCAAGCAAATTGGCTTAAAAGAGATTGAAAATAATTGTTTTAAACAATTGCTTTTAATATTCTAAACTTGTCCCTTTTACACCAATCTAGTCAAAGAGAAGTAACCACTGTCTTCAAAGTGTCTTAAAGACAAGTGCACCCTTAAAACTGTGTAATAAATAAAGAATTGAGAATGGTTGATCATAAGTAAATGTCAAAAGAAATCTTGCAATTTGCATTATTCTTTGCTATAACCTCTGAGCTTCAGCTCTAGTCTGTGATAGTTGCTTACAGCACTGTACTCTGTGTGCAGTACACAAAATTGCTAGTGATTACATTTGAATGATAATGTGGTAATATTAATGTGGTTCTAAGTGAATTAATGAATTGTTGGTTGGTTAAAAATAAGCAATCTCTTGATTTGAGAAATACAGTTTAAGTTAAAAAGTTGACCTGAAAAACCCCCAGTATTAAACTAGTAAGCAATATAGAAAAATGATAGATGGTTGGTTGGATGGATAGATGGATAGATGAGAGATAGTTGATTAGATAGATGAATGAATGAGGGAAGAGAGAGGGATGGGGAATGGATCAATGTATAGAGAAAAAAGAGTTTGTGTGTCAAAGAGGGACAGATGGACAGAATATGAACAAACAGATTTATAGATAGAGGGATTGATAGATATGTATGGGGTGACCAGAAAGAGAGAGAGATGGATGAACAGTTGGACAAATAAATATTCAGAGAGGGAGAGAGAAAAATAGGTAAATAGATTGATAGCAGAGAAAGGTAAAGCAAAGCATTAGGAAACGAGGGAAAATGCCAGCTGTTAAAGACTTACATAACTTCTCACTTAGAAAATGGGTTATCATCAGCATGGATGCAGTTCACCCTTTTCTACTTGAGGAGCTGTGGAACGAAATGATCTCTGCTTTGTGGAGAAAGGAGGTAGAAAAAAAGAAGGGCATATTGGAAGTCACTGGGAGTCTAGAATTAATTCAGCAAAGGGGATGAGTTTAAAATGGCTGAGATTCTTAAAGGTTCCTAAGGGAATTAGGTGTCCAAGTCCCATTGAGTCCACGGCAATTGGGCTTCTAACTCCCCGTTAGGTTCCTTTGAATATCATAGTCATTAAATACTGGTAGAATGAGCATCTATCTATCTATCTATCTATCCCCTTATACACCCATTTATCTAATCAACTGTTTCTCACCTATCCATCCATCCACCCATCTTCAGATATCTCATCTAAATCTGACAAACTCATTTGACGTGAGTGAATATTTATGAGTGCATAATTTATTGAAAAAAAATGCTCCTCATTTTCTAATTGGGAATTGTACTCAGGCATCTTCTCATTTGCAAAGATGTAGTATTTCTTTGAATTGTTGTTTAGTTTTCATTGGACTTGCACTGGTCATATGTTCCTGTTTCTGTATCTTTATTGGACCAGCATAATCCTTCATTTCTTTATTTATTTTAATGTAAACAAAAGAAAAAATCTGAGCTGGAAAATTGTATCATCCAAACATTCTTTCCCATATGAATAAAATGCACTTTTCTCAATTTTTTTTATGATTCAGTAGGCTAGTCACAGAACACGCATTTTTTCTCTGCGCAGTCCTGTATGCTGTTTAAAACTCCCTTAACAATGAAAAATAAAACTCAATCCCTGCAAAGGGCCAGCATTATAAATTAGCAAACACAACAAGGGTCTGGACAAAGTAGAAGCAATATATTATTCCAGCGAACTATTTTTGAAGCATTCATATCATTCCAGACATCAGTTGTATTTTCAAGAACAAGCAGAAGGTCTCTGTTCTTTCCAAGTTCCAAATTAAATCTGCCCTCATCTTTCTCAGTTTATTCATCCATTAATGACACTGTTGACCTTTATTTCTGGTTTTCCTATCACTGCAGGCTATCATGATTCTGAACATGCTAATGGAGAATCAAACCACACTGACTGAATTTACTCTCCTGGGTCTTTCCAATGAGCCACACCTCCAGATTTTCCTCTTCCTGGTGTTTTTAGCTATTTATCTAATCACTCTCTTGGGGAACATGATGATAATGCTGGTGATATGGGCTGACCATCACCTTCACACCCCCATGTACTTCTTCTTGAGTAATTTATCCTTTCTCGACATCTGTTACTCCTCAGTAACAGTCCCCCAAATGCTGGAGAGCTTCCTAGCAGAGAAGAAGACAATTTCTGTCCATGGGTGCATTGCCCAGCTGTTCTTTTTCTTTTTTCTAGCTACTACGGAGTGCTACCTCCTGGCTATCATGGCTTATGACAGATACACTGCCATATGTGAGCCACTGAATTACTTGAAAATGATGAGTGAACCGGTCTGTATGTGGATGGCAGGTGGCGCGTGGATAGCTGGCTTGCTAAATTCCCTTGTCAACACTCTCCTTGTAACTGACTTACACTTCTGTGGGCAAAAGGAAATTAACCATTTCTGCTGTGAGCTTCCGGTTCTATTACCACTTTCTTGCACTGACACGTTCATCAATGAAATGGTGCTGTTTGCCTTCACTATAATTTTAGGGATGCTCTCCCTCCTGTTAACATTGATCTCTTACATGTTCATCATCTCCACCATCCTGAGAATACCTTCCAAGGAGGGAAGATGTAAAGCTTTCTCCACATGCACCTCCCATCTCATCATTGTTGGTTTGTTCTATGGGACCGGGCTTATAAGCTACATACGAACTGACTCTAGCTACTCTCTCACTCTGGAAAAGGTGGTGTCCATCCAGTACAGTGTCTTAACTCCCATGTTCAACCCCATCATCTACAGCCTGAAGAATAATGAAGTGAAAAGTAGTGTGTGGAGAGTGCTCAGAAATTGCAAATAGGAAGAGATTAATGTGAACTTGGTGTCTGAGGGTGAGATTTTTAAAACTGCCGTAAGGTCAGATTTTTAAAGATATGTGGGGCATATGGGATTTTCAAAAGCATCTAGGTGCCTAACACACATTGAAATCAAATCCCTTAACCATCTTTGAAAATCTCAGTCATAAGACATGATGACAATTAGCAGTGAAATAGAAGTATCTATAAATGTATTGGTAATGTGTGATATGTCTGTTTGTGAGGGCAAGATCCTCAGCTGGTGTAGCTTTCAAAAGATACATTGACTCAAGTTGGGCCACATGGATTTATGTGAGGTGTCAACCTGGCACATTGCTTTCAGTAGATCCATGCCAAGTAAAACCAGCTGTAGAGCTGGCATGCCTTCAGTGGAGTTACACTGATATAGAAAAGCTAGGGATCAGTCTTCTTGACTCCATTTGTTTTATATCTATTTATACTTACTGGAGATATGATTCGTTGAGTCCAACTCAACTATACTAAGTTACACCACCTGGTAATCTGAGCCCTATTTTTCTATTGAGAAATTCTTCTCACAGTTCATCTATAGAAAATTAAACATGCTTGTAGTACTGCTGTCCTGTTCTCCTACATTTGTTTCACTCAGCAATTAAATTTCTTCTTAATAAAATTGTAAGATCTTTGGTCCATGGATTCTCTTTTAGATCCATCTGTAGAGTTGTCATAACTATAAAGGGAGGGTAACAGCTGTCCTGTGTACAGTACTATAAAATCCCTCCTGGCCAGAGACTCCAAAATCCTTTTCCCTGTAAAGGGTTAAGAAGCTCAGGTAA